GAGGTTTGTTAAGCTCAAATAAGTTACTTGGCTGTGTGAAAATTGGAAATATGTCTTTTTATTACTTGAAAAAGAAATTGGAATTCATTTCATAAGTAATTTTAAGGCTGACCAGTATGCTGATGTTGCATTAACGCAGTTGGCTCAGTTGGTGATTCGTTTTGCTTCTGAAGAGGAACATTTTAGTGATGCAGCTGCGATTCTCAATTTAGCAATGAAGGTTGATCCCAACGAGGTACTCTTTAAATAAGATAGAAGTGCTCTTTTGTTCGCTGTTAATGTTAGTGGTTGAACCCAGTTAATTTCATTATTTATATTTGACGCAAACGGAGCATATTTCGCTGTAGAGCTGCTTAATATAACATTTTTTAAATACAGTTTTTTTGTGAAAGATTAAAATTTCTTGCAGCCTATAACACACTTGCTAAGTGGTATAGTAAGCCACTTACAGTCAAAGCATCGTTCTGCTTTGAAGTATTCTCGGGCTGCTGTTGTGCTTGATCCGCAAATGGAATCTGCTGTTGATTTTCTCGTTTACCTTCGTTGTTACAAAAAAGTTTGTTATTTTTTGTTTATTTTTTTGGTCTCTCTAAGTATTTTTTGTTATTAGAAAGTGTAGTGGATGTTATTCATTTCGCTGACAAAGAAATCAATTTTTAATAGATGTAACTTTGTCGGGCTTTATTATTATTATTAATATGACTGGGAAAGGATTATAAATAATTTTACACATCAAAAGACATAGTCCTCTCAGTTGCGGAGGGGTTGTTTTGTCAAGTTTTATTTTTTAAAACGTTAGTATATGTTCAGTTTTTAGTAACCGTGAAACAGTAGCATTTTGACCATAGTGGTTACTTTATTGTTTTTAAGAAGAAGATAATGTTGTCAAGAGAGGTTGTATGGCCTGTTTGTTACTCAGTGTCTGATACCAACGTTTATTGTTTGAAACTTCCCAGGAGTAACAACTGCTACGTACCCCAAAGAAGAAGAAGTTTTTTCGCAAAAGAAGAGTGTGGGCGAACAAAGGTAAGGAAAAATTGGTGGACCCAGTATTTCTGTTCTAAGTTCTTCTTGGGTATTTCTTTGTCATTATGTGAATTATTTCTAAGTTACCAACACAATTCAGTCTTTTCAGGGCGTGTGTTGCCGCAGTGACTTCTCTATACTTTTTTTGTTGTCGTACTTGAAAATAAATCTATCAGGTTGGTTAGTTCAAGTCTCTAACACATCGGATGTTTCGCTTTCTAGAGAAGTCATCGTTTAAAGCAATAATTTGATTTTACAAGGAAATGAATCTCCCTGCCTTATTTTTTAAGTTTTCTGTCATGCAGTTCTCAACTTGACAGGGAGCATTGTAAATCTCTTTAACTTATTAACATTCGATTGGAAATATATAGAATTTGACTCTGACTTGCTGAGGCTGTATTTATTTATTTAGAAAATATCAGTCGTCCTAAAAAGTCTTTCTTCCGCTATAACGACTTCAAAGAAAACTGGGCTTATGTAGTACGTTTTTAGTTAAGAAATATGTTTCATTGAAAAAATAGATAAATTTTGGAATTTTTTGCAGTTTTTTGTAGAAGGAATCTATTTTGCCAACTTTCTGCGATATTTCCATATGCATTTTCATAATTATAGATACCGTTGGACTATGGAGGCGAAGAAAGTTTGAAGAGGATCAGTGAGATTTCTACACCTTTGCTGCCAAACTTTCCTGTCAGTCAAACTGAGGTTTTTTTTCGCCTATTCGCAGAAACATTCTTTCTACAGCTGTAGCATTCGTATTCTCGGGACCGTAGAAACGTTACTGTTCATACTCTCTTTCTTGTATTTCTTCTTTCACACCATTATTCTTGAATTCCTCATAAAGGTTTTAGGTGCTGTATACTGGGGACGACCTTGGAAACAATGATTACACAGAAGCATGGGAAGAAAACGTTGCTGTCGACATTATCCCTTTTCCAGAGGTTCTTAAATAGCTTTTGTTGTCTTGTAGATTAGTTTTTTTTAGTAAATCAGCCTCTGTTTTGGTAACTATGTGCTTGATCTTTTTCTTTTTTGCAGTTTCCTTTGTCTTCGTACCAAATACTTGATAGGAGACAAATGCTGATGTATGATGCTGCATTGCCCGAGGTAATGCAGGCAGGAGAATTTTAATCTTCATTTGATTTATTCTTTGCTACTATTTCTAGGATTGGTTATTTAAAACATGCAAGGGATTGTTTATTTTTTCTTTGGTTGATGCATTTGTTTTTTTTTTTTCAGGTTTTACCATTGCCTCCTAAAGATCTTGTTGAAAGCGGCCTTAAATATTTGCCAATGGTTAGAGTATTGGAAGCAAATTTCTGTTCAAATGGAAAAACGGTATGAAATCTTCCTATTACTATCAAGTTCATTTTAAATATCATGGTGAGAAGTGGTTCTTTGCGACTTCTTACAGACTCTTTCTATGCTGCGTGAACAAGCTACGTCGACGTGGGTGTCAGTCACAGCTAAAGGGGTGAATATGGAAGAGTTTATGGATTTGAGTGCTCCTGTTCCTGCATTGGCGGGGTTTGAGCCTGTTTGTCCTGAACTTGACATGCCATCTCCGTTGAAAACTTTTGATCACTTGCCGGCGTATCATCTTCGTGACCAGTTTATTTTTTACAAACCTGAAATTGGCCTTGAAAAGGTTTCTTTTTCTGATTCTTATGAGCAAGCTAAGATTTTTCGGCTATAGTTATAGACAACGTTAATTCTTCAAATTTTTACTGGTTTCTATAACTGCTGGAATTGTCTAATTCATTCGGTCTTTTGCACTATGCGATCAGTACCTGTTTTATTCTTCGGGGAAAAAAATGCGCAGCAACGCATTCAATTTGTACGTACTTACAAAAATTAAAATTGTCATCTGAAATGGCTGTACTTCATGACCTATACGTTCTCTGGAAACTAGCGTTTGAAAGTTTGATGATGAGACGAAGTGTTTGCGAATGACTTGTGTTTAGATGAGAAATGCTTTTTCCTTTCATAATTTGTTTTGTCGTCGCTTTATAACTAAGACACTGTTGGAATGTGTGTATTTGTATTATAATCTGCTGTATTGTTGAAAGTGGTAGTACTGGTTGTTCATTTTTTATCACTCGTGTACTTTTCATTCTCATATGGTACACTGATTACGTGTCTTCTTGATGTATCATTTTTTATTCGGGAAGGTGGTTTTTGAAGCATTTGCTGACGTTATAAATGGATGAACAGAAGTGACTATGAGTTTTGGCGTTTTTTTTGATGAAACTTATTCAGGCATTCAAGACGCTAGGAAATGAGAAGGAGCGTATTGAACATGTAGCTGGTCGCCTAATGCTTGCAATGAAAGTTTCTAAACTGAATTCAAATACAAGAAGTAAGTTTTTATGGCAACTCAGTAATGCTTTGTTGGCAGGCCTTACTCCTTGAAACTGGTAGTTACCGACCTTCGCAACAGTACTTTTCTAACTATTAAATATGGTTGAACGAGTCTTCCAGAGTGCTAATGAGCTTTCTTTCAGGTAGGCAAGATGGTGGAGTGCATTGGACACTATCTACTGCATCAACTTTGTATTGGAGAGTTAAGGGAGATGCGGTCAATGCTATTAAGTGCTTGAGGCACTCGTTAAACAATGCTCCTTCCGACATGACGGTAATTGTTGCATTTACCTTGATTCCGTAAAAGTAACAATAGAGTGTTTGTGGGAGTATTACAGCGACTTTCACACTATAGATAGCCAAGTCGAAAAGGCGAAATCAGAAGGCATTTGCGCGGAGTAAAATATAAAATGAAATCCGCTTTGAGCATTCTGGACATAATGGTTCACTACAAGTCGTAATATTCTTTGCTTATTTTGCAATTGAATTAGCATTAAATGGAGGTTTTACGTTCGCCCTCGTAGAAGAAAAAACCACTAGCTCTTTCGTGGATCGGCAGAAAGTTCTAAAACTGTCTTCCATTTATAATGAAACGCTGACACTCCATAAATAGTTCTAGAAGGAATACTGCTCATATGGTTTCTACTAGATAGCTTTCAAATAAATCTATTGCCGCTCCTAAATATTTTCTTTTTCATGTTGGCGGGTTTTCAGGCTGCCTGACAACTTGCATAATGTTTTTATAGATAGTTTTAGGAGGAGGTATTTACAGTTAGAAGCTTAATGACTGAGTCGTGTTCCTTTTGGTCCAGTTGAGCCATATATGCTTAAAAGTTTGGAAAACGTTAGTTCTATGTATTTTTATTTTTGAAGATTTTTTGTTGAGGTTATTTTTGCAATAGGGAGAGGTTGATCTGTAAAATGAAAGGAAAGGGAACACCTCAGGCTGCGAAGTATCTTTAGAAAGTTACTTGGGGGGGGGGGGGGGGATTGTAGGCTCACGCTAAATTTAAGCAAGGATCTTTTCTAAAAAATTTCTGGTGGTGATATCATGTTTTTTAATTTTAGTAGTGATGGTAGTATTGGAGGTGGGTGTTAATTTTTGGTTTATTGGGGCAACTGGTATTCTGGCTGGCACCGTGCTTGGTAATACCAAAAGAAATAACAAAACACAACGCTTCATTCAAGTGCCAACGCCCAAAAGCCTTTTTAGAATAAGAGAAGTATATTTTGAACTTTCACTCTGAGTCTTCAGGCAGAAAAGTTGCTATTCTTGTAGTTGGTTTTTTGCTTCATTTTTTATTAACTTCAACACCTTCAGTTGTTCTCTTCCCAGAGCAGTAAGGTGTTTATTAGGCTCGTTAAATTTAATAGACTAGTCGACTAATTGACAGTATCGGTGATACTGGTAATAGAGATAGTAGTAGCAGGAAGAATGATTTTAATGATAATGATTGGCAATATTGTTACTGGTGGTATTGGCAATAACAATAATTCTTGTAGCACTAGTGACCATAATAAAATTAATAACAACATAATAATAACAGTATTGGTAATAATAACCATAGCTTATATTGCAGTAGGTGATCTAATTGATATAATCGTTGCTATCGTTCTGTAGTCGCTGTTCATAAAGATTCTCTTTGTAATTTGGGCCTGTGTAGGTGCCTGATACTAAATGGGAACATTTAGGACGTTGCATTGGTAAGCATGGCAAACATATATCACCAAGCTGGGTTGCTTCATAGTGCGTTGATTTCTGGAGGTGCAGCGCTTACAATATCTCCGAAGCTCGTTGCTGTTCACGTCACTCTTGCGGACATCTATGCATCAATGGTTACACTTTTGTCATACCTTCAAACTAGCTCATTCAAAGCAAGGCTTCAAACTGTCGAAGCAGTAATTTAACAATTTCTTAAATAAAATAAGCAGCTAATTAAGTTTTACTGGGTAACTCGATTGGGAGTGCGCTATTCCCTTCCCTTTTGAAGAGCAGAGCAAGAAATACCTCTAACTTCCCTTACTGCTATTAAGCCGCTTTACAGGATGCAAGCAACACTTCATCCATATGAGATTTAATTTCCTTTTTTTAAGGGTGACTACCAGCATGCTTTGCAATTCTACTACTCAACACTTTCACTACAGAAGAATTTCGGGCCTGCCAAAGACAGAATCCGCACGATATATTGCCACACTGGCAAGACTATCGAGTTTTGATCATTGAAGCCACTGTACTTCCTCATGTAAAGGGAACTCTAAAAGCTGCAGTTTTATTTGTGATCTCATTTCTTGATTCTTTTAATCCGGGTATCTTGATTCTTTTTTGCCCTTGCGGTCGCTCTTTTAACTGTAGATTTTCTCAACGAGCCTCGTAGACGTTGGGTAACTTGTTCAGTGGCAGGATCCACACCTACATTAAAGATTTGAAACAAATTTTTTGAAAGAATTCTTGCACTCCGTGAAATGACCTACTTTACCAGGTTCGAAAGCCAGGTTTTAAAAATGCTGAAAATGAAACAACATTACATCAAGAGCATCTACACCAAGCAGACTGCACAAGTAACTTCCATTACGTACTGCACCACCGCATTGTGCTTGGAGCACCTTACAATAGGCAGTAAAACTCCATCTCAGTGCCTTGCTGCGAAGTCTAACAAAGTCACTATCAACGTGAGCGATGTGAAGACGCCCGCCGCCAATCCAGCTAATCGCTTGCAAAATCCTGAGTTTTACGCTCGGTACCTTGTCCAGGAAAAGCGACTTCGGCGACTAAAAGTTACACGGGAGAACAAAGAAAGCAGTTGCTAGGAATCTGTGATCCTAAGTGAGAGAGGGCACCTATTGCATTTCAGTAATTTCCTTTGACGGAAGTTAAGTGAGGATCGAAAGAAAAGCCAAAAAATCCTTCTGAACTAAAAGCGTACTTCTCCATACAAAAACAAACAAGAAGTTACTTTGAGTAAGAAGACGAGGAAAATTGCATACACGTTAAAGGCATAGAATTCTGCTTTGAAATTTTCCTTTGCAGAGGAGAATACAGCGGAGATATTGCCAATTTGGCCGCGCACCGCGCAGCTGGCTAAAAAGCAACTTACACATGAAAGACACAAAGGAGGAACAAATAAGAAGGGAGAATTTCACTCGGAATTTGGTTGAGGCAAGAAAAATAATAAGAAATGACAAGGTTAAGATCAGCAGCTCTTAAAACAGCGGTCACTTTTACGAGCAAAGGAGCTTATGCATTTGACAATAAATAACAAACAGTTATCCGACGAATAAAAACGACTATTAAGAAAATTCTCCTTAGCTAGCCTCGGGACCATTACGACCACCAGTGTTATTCAAACTTTGACTTTCGTCCTCATCAGATCCTGAGCGTTCTGCTTTCCCAGCAAATTTCTGTACTCGTCTCTGTCTTATTTCGCTCATATCTGCGCTAGAAGAAAGAGTAGCTTGTTCAGTAGGCAGAGTAGCATGGGATTTGGTCTCTTCCCTCTGTTCATTTCCAGGAACTACAGGTTTTGAGCCGGAAGGTCCTGGAGCGTCTGCTTTTGCCGAGGGCTTATTTTGAAGAGAACTTTCACTAGATACAGCCTCTCCGGTTGTACTACCACTTGTGGATGCACTGAAAAAAAGCGGATACAGATGAAACAAGATGAAAAAGAAGTCGAAAGCAAAGCATCAAAAAAATATAAAATTTTAATTTAAAGCTACCTATGAGACTGAACAACGCTGCAGTACTGTTGCAGCTGCACAACAGCAGCATCCAAAAGGACTCCTATATTACGCAGACAAGTTACTCGTGCTTCTATTGCAGCTCTTTCTCTTCCTTCCATTGCAGCAACTTCTGTATCTGTAAGCCCACTGAAAGACGGTGGAGTTGGGAAAACGAAAGGTGGTGGAGGAGGAAACATCATTAACGGATTTTGCGTTTGCTGAAACACACCATTACACTAAAAAAACCAAGAAAACAATATAAGATATCTTACATCTTACTAGACAGACCTTATGTTTTTCAACACCTATGTAATATTTGATACCATGTTCTGAGTGTGCAGATTCTTACCATAAAATATCCTTTCCCACCATAAAGACGAAAAATGACTCAGTAAACAACACACTAGATGGAGGCACATGGTTCTGAAACCATTTAAAAATTCAATTTTTCTTCTTGATTCGCTCCCAGAGACAACAAAATTACGAAAGCAGTGCAGGCACAACTTTTTTCTTAAAGGCCGTTTACAAAAGTACCAGTAATTTGGTCCCCTCACAGGAAAAAACTATGTCAGACAGTGAAGAATCCCGCTCCATACATGTTACACGGAATCTACAAATAAATATGTGAGTGTAAAGCTTGGAAGTCATTCAGCGATCAGATAAAAAAACATTATCAGAACTTTACTTAGGTGAAGAAGTAACTGGTCAAAAATTGTTGAGAAAAATCGGTTTAATTCGGAAGTTTTAATATTTGACTACCTACGGTAACTGACCAATACCTTTTTGCCTCAATACAGAAAATGTACATTTTAGTGAATTTGCTGTGAATTGACATCTCTGTAAAGTCTCCAAGTAAAGTTCTGCAAGATCGGACAAAAAGAAGCCTTTCAATAAAACTATTTTTTTGAAGGAAATCCAGGACTTATTTTTTCTTGAAACTCAACTCTAATAGTGAAGGCTGCATTGCCTTCATAATTCTGCTCAAAAACCTGTCGCTGGAAACAAATATGGGTTGATGAGAGATAAGTCGGCAAATGGGCCCGAAAAATTTCGTTTTTTTAAAACAAGCTTTGAGTGACAAGTTTCTAGGCGACCACTGTAGAGCTAAAAAGGGCGAAAGCTTACATTATATGACTCCAGTTTTTTAAAGTCTAAACAAACTCTATTTTGCAAGTACAGTTTTCGACTGCAGCAATGTGAAACGGCTCTCTACCGTACAGCGGTACCTCAAATGCACAAAAATTCCCCACTGGCTAAGTTCCATGAACTTTGATAATTACATTGGGAACTACTATTAGACTATACTCATTCACCATTATTTTAGCTTAGCTATTCAGCCAAAGCAGTAAACCATTTAAAATTATTTATACGAAAATCGGACCGCAAAGGGAAAATTGGGGAACATCCAAGATGCCTGGGGCGGAAATACTGAGGAGTTTGAAGCATTTGTACTGGAAGAGCCCTCGGTGTTGCTTGAGAATGCTCCAGCAGATGTTGTTGGGACTGACTGTGAATTTTCGCCTTGCCCGTCTTGTTGTTCTCTGAAGCCCGGTTGCTGTTGTGGAGGGGGAGGGAAACCGAAATGATGGGCAATGAATGGTAGTAAATTAGGAGGGACTTCGGGAACAACAGGAGGCGGAACCTGTGCAAAACGTGGTTGGCCAGGGGCTGCTTCGGCCCTTGGTGGGGGTGCTGCTGCAGTCGGAGTCGTACGACGCTGAGCTGAAAAACAGACAGTTACTCAAAATTACGTTGAATCATAAAACCAATACAAACACAACATATTATCTTGCTTCCTTTCTTCTTATCGGGACAGTAGAGGGTGCCAGGTGGGTAATGGAAGTCTTGAAGGCATGAATAAAGAGATTAAGAGAGAGGAAGGGAAGAGGAGAATAACAGGTGACGACAACAATTCTTTCCTAAAAAAGAGTGACGGACCCAAAAATGTTGAAAAACAATGACCTATCCTATGTCACCTGTAAAGCCATATGTTATAACATGTCCCGTAATACTTTAAACCGGAAAATGATTGAATAAGTACGCGATATGTTTTGTTAAAATCACACGACGCCACAAATTGTGTATTTTTCTCTCTAACTTCACTATCACGGTCCCCTATTCAGGAATTAGTTTTCTTCAAAATAATATGAGCGATGGTGTATCTGTACAACTGTCACTTCTTAGATGCTTTTGTCTCCATAGAAGTCCAACAAAAAAGTGTTACAAATAACAATATCAACGACAACTAAACAAAATTTTGCCGCGCTATTTTGCAATTTTGCCGCATCATATATGCACGTAGAGAGTTTGTGTCCTTCCGAGTAGTAAGTGATTACGTTAAACAACAACAAAAATATGTCACTTTGGGTACAGCACCAATTCCAATATACTCCCCCTTACAAAACCAACTTTTTTTTGTTCATTCTGTACAGTATCTTTTATAATAGTACCAGCTCTGCAAACTACCCTTCCATTGATGCTTGCTGACTCGCAATACGCAATGACTTTGCGAAAGTAGAGTAAAATTCCCAAGCTGAAGTTAGAAGTCATTATAGTCTCCAACAGCAATTAATATTAACTCAGGGACACTCAATTACTAATAATGAGCCTCTCCATAAATCCAAGCTCAGTTCTAGTTTCACAGAAGTACCAAAAGTAAAGTATATATTTTTCACCACTGCCTATATCGCAATTCATTTTTAATGATGAGCTATCAAATGCAACTGAAAACACATTAATACAAAGGTTTCAAAGTAATTTTCAAAGCAAATCATTTATGTCTCCAAAAATGTTAATCTTTATTTTCCCTGAATATTCAAGTATCCTAGCGCTTACAAGAAACTCTTAATAGCCTCAGCAAAGAGTTTTCAGAGAGTAATGTGTGAAATGTACCTAAGATGTCAGTTCGACAAGTTGGACAACTTTGTTGGCGCTGAAACCACGACCGAAGGCAATTAGAGTGAAATATGTGATTGCAAGGCAACTTCTTTGGCCCACTTGCGACAGTCATTTCTTCACGACATATGATACACGTGTTATCTCCTACAATATAAATTTCAAGTAAAATGAAGGCGGGTTTCAAATTAGGAAAAAACTATAAGCTGACGTTTAGCAGCGCATTAGTTTTAACCAGTTCTAATACTGCCAGTACAATTAATTTTTCTCACTGAATGCTGAGGGGAGTTAGTTGGCTAAACACGTCTTTAACACACAATTATTTGAATCTCACAAATTCTTAAAGGCACGATGTACAACATCAAAATCCATGAAAAAGAAAAAAGATGGAGATCAAAACCTTGCGCGAGCTCTTGTTCAGTTGCTAAGGGGAAAAGATTATTCATCGCGTGAATGGCTCGGCGAGAAAGTATGACGTCCGTTACGGCCTTATGAAAAGCACGGATTGAGAGATATAACGGACGGATAGAAAACAGTGGAAAAGTGTGCAAGCGAATCATTATAGCAACAAATACCACATAGAGCAAACAACGAAGCAAATCTAAAATTCTACCATTACAGACCAAAATGAGTGAGCCTTGAATGAAGAAAGTCAGATTTAGTAAAAGAAAGTAGCCACTGTCAAAATAGAACTGTCTACGACCTTTTAACTTCGCAAAGTGCTATCAAGAAGTCCTTCTTATACCATGCTATACAAACTGCTTTTTTTTGAACATTTAAGACACGTAAGAGCAAAGAAATCCTATACTAGGCAAAGTTGCTCCTTCGGATTTTCACATTTGTAAAAACAAAATTTTCAACCCCCATTGGTAAATCACAACTTGCTGTTCTCTTAATTCAACTTTTCTTTCACTGTAAACAGTACATTAAAAAGCCAAAATTTCACTCCTGACCACGAGACCTGAATAACCAAACGCATCAAAGAACCCAGTGCAGAGCGTAATGAATTACTGCTATTGTAAAGAATTTGCATCTCTTTTCCAGATAAACTACAGATAAATTTCGGGAATTTTCGTAACATTAGACTTTTCATCATTACAAAATTATAAACAAAACTGTAAACCACTCACTGATAATCAATTCAGAGTAGAGGAGATAAACTGCTTTGTTTTCCCAAGGATGAACTCTACGTAAATCGTGCATGTGTAAAATGTATTTGATCGTGACATGAAGAACCGTTGTCATTAATATAGCATACTAAAACCAAATTTTAATTAGTAAAAAAAATTCGCTTTGCCGAAGTGCTAAACGTACACTCACCTCAAATCCAAAAACAATTTGAACTGATGCTCCTTTTAAAAGAGTAGTAAAATACGCATGTGAAACAAAGTAGCTATCCAACATGCTCAGAAATGCCAACAATGCTGAAACAACCCAGAAAATCTTAACAGGCTGCAAGAAGTACTTATTTGTAAAAATTGACTAGAAGGGAACACAAAACTTGACTTACATATCATCCTTACATGAAAAAGAAGGGTAATAATTGGACTCCGTTCCATAAAATCCACTCGATCCTCGCTTAGCCAGTGAAAGGATTTTACGAAAAGCAGTAAAACAAAGAGCATAACGAATCTGGGCGAAAAATCTTCTCTAAAAACAGTGAACGCAAGACATGTTTCCATAATAGCATGCCAAGTCCTCTCTGTCAAATGCTGAAATACTTTAACTTATATGCACTTAGAAGTACAAGTTCAAAGAAGTTCTTTCGAAAATGAAAAATAATTTATAGTTCACGTTATTTATTTACTTACCTCAGTTTCTGCGGCCCTCAACTGCCCAAAAAATAATTTTCTAGCTAGGTGGAACATTATATAAGCTGCTACAAGGCCCTGGATATACATCACCTAGAACCCACTAAACTGTACAGCACCCTTGACGCATTGAATAATTATTTCCTACACCTAGTTATCAATTCATTCCCTCTAAAGATTTATTAGTAAAGGAAAAGTATTTACCGCCATAGAGGGACTGCTTTTAGTTATATATACAACTGAAGGGTAGAACTGTTTTTTCTGCACAAATGCATTCCCTATCGTCAGAACCGTGAGGACAAAGCTAGCACTGATAAACAGCAGTGCAGAAGCTTGCGCCATCTTGATCCTAAATCCTCAAAGAAAAAAACTGCACGTTGAAATAACCATCAGAATGCAAAAAAACAGCAAAAACTTTCCTCCCCGATTCCTCGCATTAGTAAATTTAAAGTTACCAAGTACCCAGCTTATTGACTGCAATATATGCAAATCATAACAACACACAGCAACTTTTACTGTACGTAACCGTTACTCAACATCAGGCAACAGATTATTTTCAGGGAAAGTTGAACAATTGAAAAAATGGCTGAGGAAAACAAAACTCCAAAGAAAAAAAAAATACAGCAAAAACAAAACACCTCTCCAACTAC